ATATATAGCTACAGTCAGCAGCCGATTAGTTCAGTTTAACATAAAGACTGGAAACACCTGTAAAGCTTGTTTAATATGTATATAAAATGATATGTAAATTGATGGTGGGTTATGGTGCCAGTCAATTGCTTGGGTTGTTTGCTGCCTTTATATCACGCTAAGCTAAGCTGGTGGCACTAATTTCACATTAAACAGGTACGGATCTTCTCAACAAATGAATCTGTTCAGTAAAATGTCAAACCATTTCTTCAAGCTAACATATAACATTTGCCACTCATTAATTCCTGCCTCCACCATGACGTGTGCCCTAAATGTCCAGTCCCTCTCACAACTGCTCCAGCCTCCAAAGGTTTCCCCACAACACAAGAAACTGGGCTTTGGGCTCATGGGTTCTGGGGCCCAAGGGTCCCTTGTTTTACCAACAGCTCCAGTGCTGCAGTAAAAGGCAGGCTGCATTGTTATGCAACAGTTTAGTAAGGATGAATGGATTTCAGCACAGGCCCAGTGAATGCCAGTGGAAATGCTGGGAAGAGAGTAAGAGCTAGGTTAATCCCAGAGGGAGTCCCCTTGGGGCCTGGCCCTCATAACTCCTCCGTGTTTTCCTTTCAGCCTTAAATGTGTTGGTTGGATGTCTATCGGACCCAGAGGGGGAGCAGAAAGGAGGAGGATGGGTTCTTTGGGTCCAGCAGCAGAGCAGGCTGGTTAATCCCTGCAGCCCCAACACAAGGGCCAGCCAAAACTCTGGGGGTCGCCCCTCATTTTCTTACTTTGCTAACCTCTCAACAGCTAATTTCTCTTTTCCTCTCCTCTCCTCTCCTCTCCTCTCCTCTCCTCTCCTCTTCTCTCCTCTCCTGCCTGCCAGCATGGCTGCCCTCAGGCATTGGGCCAACAGCCCCACTGTCTCTCTGTGGGTGACATCACTGGTTGGCACAGAGAAGCAGGGGGAGAATAATTAGGTTTAGATGGTTGAAGCAACCATGTGTGTGTGTACGTGCACGTTGAGTGTGTGTGTGGTGATGTAGAATGGAATTTGCAAGGCTTTACTCAACACAAAGCACGTAGACGTTACAATCAATACTCAAGTGCAGGGAAAATAATGCATGTGAATGCAAGGTTTTATGGAACAGGTGAAACAAACAATGCATTTCAAGCAAAAAAATGCTGAACATTTAGCCTTCTCATACACTTCTCATACAATGTGAATCAAAAATGTTTTACAGCCAGAGAGACATGAAATGAAGTATATGTGGTTGGGTTTGGAGTTAAGTGTGATGTTGGGGGAGAAAGAGCTGGAGGCCCTGCTTTAATAACTCACTATGGACTCCATACATGACCACCCCAGCAAAGCCCATCCGTTCACTGCCCATCGTGCTATATACACAGCCTACTTAGGGAGAAGCCTTTGTCTGTACGATGCGCTTTGTCAACCTCTATTTAGTGGCTTCTTTACAACAGACCTGGCCCTTTGAATATTAACTGTGTGATCACTCTTGCCACACAAGCAGACGCTCAGGACCCCCTATCTTCACAGCCCAGCTCCCCTGCACTCTGCTCCAGGGCTTTTTGCCCAATCGAAGCTTGGTATAGGCTACAGACTTTTGTGGTCTCTCATCAGCCAGTAAGGGAGAAATGTAGTTTCCATTGCCTCGCTGACATCATTTATGAAGCGGTTGATTCATTTCACATATGAGGAGACTCAAACAGGGATCAAATATGAGAGGGGACTTACATTTCACCAAAAAGAGACAAAGAGATGCAAGAGAAGAAGGGGAAGAAAAGGTCTGATTTGTCTGTGTCGCTGTATGTCACTGTGTCATTGTGAGACTCTAGTGAAGTGCGACTGTAGTCCTGACTAGTGTAATGACCGTAGCAGCTGGGGCAGGAAGGCGATGGAGGGTGGGAGAGTCTGAGCTAGAGTTTTTGCAAGCCAATAATCCCCTTTATTGAGTCTCAGGAAATCCTAATTGGAGTCGGAAGTGGCTCTAGTGGCCAGATGTGCAAAGACAAACAGAGTCAACCCAACCCCCAAGGACAACTGACCACAAGCACCTCAGCCTCCCTTCCACCCTGCTGAGTTTAATTTAAGCATAGCTCACACACACAGACACACACAATACGCAAGGACAACTGACCACAAGCATTCCCTCCATTCAACCTGGGGAAATTTACTTTATCTCAACAGACACACACGTGTGCACGCATTCATTCAGTGCTCCAATTGTTGTGACAAGAAGCAGCTTGGTAAACATAGCATGGTGTCAGCTGCGCACTTAGGACAGTCTACAAAAACAAAGAGGTATTGAGTTCAGTTATGCCTCTCTTGTCTGCTCTCTTGATCGATAATAAAGCAGGAGCTGTAGCCAATATTGTTACAAAAGCACATAGTGGAAATTCTTTAACAATCAATGAACAGGAAGCATTAAAAGAGAGAAATAAAAATATGTCTAAACATGCATGCCTGTGATCAAAACTCCAATAAGTGAAAGCTTCTACAGAAAGCTCTTTCTTCATAGCGTGTTTTCCTTTCTCCACAAGTCTGACTCACAGCACTGTCATCTTTCTGGCTCCATAATGTTTGTATCATCGTCAAATGGCCTGTCTGTGAACCCCTAAAGTCACATTGTGCAGCAGCAGTGTGTGGAAGCCCCTCTTTGTGTCTTTTACTATCATTTATAACATATGTATGTGTGGGAGTGGATATACGTTTAGTTCTCATGTATGAAACACTCATGTATGAGTTAATGTGTGAGGGAATTTGGGAAAGCGAGGGCAAGAGGCTGAAAGTGTGTGTATGTGTGTTGTCTGTCTCTTGCTGTCTCTCCTTATCAGGCCGGCGGTCTGACCAAAGCCAGAGATCCTTGTCAGGCTGTTCTGGATAACTGCATGTGATCTAAGTGCAGCTGGTAAACCAGGAGAGATCTGAGGAAGCTGGGTTTGATTAAGAATACCTCCCCAGACCTACTGTCCCAGTCTGGGATCAGACCCAGGTGTGTGTATGTGTGTGTGTGTGTGTGTGTGGTTTTCTCACGCACACATACACACACTATGTCTATGCATGTGTTTGATACCCCCACAGAGCCACAGTCACACTGACCTATTTACTCCGCCATGGAAATGGCCAAGACCCAGGAGGCAGACCAGACTCACCAGAGGCAGAATAACACTAAGACCCCATATGGTTATATCAATAGTTTCACATGGAATAGTTTTACAGCCATTTTTACACGCTATATAAATGGGGCATCTGGGCAAAAAATCTATTGTATTGATTTCTTTACATCCGGATTCATTTCTGCAGTGTGAAAAACCAATTGCAGCAGAGGTCACGATCAAGAACTTGATCACCGTAGCAAAAGTACTACGCAAAACCAATGCTATTTTTTGTGAGTTTTTGTTGGTGTGTGTGAACAGCTATGATTATGTGTGTGTAAATTAGGGGTGGAGGAAGCTAATAGCCTTCACCTTTGCGTAACCCCTCTGGGACTTCAAAGCGGGATTAAGAAGGAGAGATGGCGAAGGGCTAACACTTGCTGCATGGCTGCAACCACTCCACCACACTGGGGGCGGAGCTTCTAAAGACTTGTTGCTGTTGGGATCTCATGTGTTAACCCTTATTTCTCCATTGAGAGGAAAAGGTAGTAGGTTTCCTCCAGGTATCAAAGAAACGTCATGGATATAAATTTCTATTTCTCACCATTGTGTGTCTATGTAGAGCAATTTAACTTAAATGCATGGATTCCCTCTCACACTTCCTACAGGCTCACACAAACACATCTTACACATGAACACCCTCATACACATTCATTCACTGGAGAATGGGCCAAGTGAAGCACAGGCTCTGAAGCTCAGTGTTATGCAAAAGTGGAACCGACTGGGAGTGGGCCTGTAAACACATCACAGACTGTTTTGTCTCCTTGCAATTTAACTGTCTTGGCGAAACAAGTGAGGGTTAACTCCTTGTTCTTCATTAATCACTGTCGCAATGACCGCGTTGCATGAATGCTGGCATAATATGTGCAGGGTTCTTCAGAGGCTTTATGGACTATAAAGCTGCCGTCTCTCAACGGTGGCATTTCCTTGTATTCTGAGAAGTGCACTGTACTCTGAGAAGTGAGTGACTGCATAGAAAGTGAAGTTTCCTGAGAGAGGTTTGTTCTGGCACGGGTACACTATAACATGCCCTGCTGCACAGGCACAACAATGGGTAGATCTTTGAGGCCGTAACCCCCTAATTACTGCAGAGCCCAGAAGTGATGACGACGGCCTGTCAGCGCGGCCTGTGAAAGGGGCTACCTGAGCCGGACTCGGAAGCACCAGGTGACGTGGGTCAGGAGCGCTCCAGCACCTCGGATGAAAGGTCGGTGTTATGGTTCTACGTCCCAGCACCTGGGCCATTTCAGCACCCTAGGGGGACTTCTAGTCTCTTAGCTTTCACCTACTCCCCGTTCTTGGTTCAGGGAGGAGATGCAGACATCATTTCCCATGTCTGATAGCCATCTGCTCCCTCTCTCAGGTTCTCAATAGCATACTCTTCTTAGCCTGATCAAGGCCTTCTGCACCAATTACAGATCAGAGTCCTGCCCACTATGATGATTAGCCTGAAATAGAGACTTATCAAGTTGTCAGTACAGCTCCTGACAGCAAGCTTTCATGTACAATCTTATCTGGGCTTGGCAAACATTATTGTAAATGCATTAAATGAGGTATCAAGGCTATTAAAACGATTCCTCTGAAAGATTAAAAGAAATACAAGAATTTAAATAGTATCAATAGTTATTGATTGTGATGAGGATCTTAATAGTTTTATTAGATTTTTTTCAACACAGTTAACACACCAGAAATTCAGTCTCATCACAACATCTTCAAAGTCTAAAAGTGGACAAAAGTGGAGTTAAACTCAAGTGCGCTGCTACCTGACAACCCTAAATCCGCCCATGGGAAAACTGGGAGGATACAAGGCATATCAGAGTGCGGGTACGCGCATGCGCGCTCCTGGTGGATCGTGTGGAAGTTTCCCTGTAAGTTGAGAAAGACAAGAGGACAGCAGCGAGTGGAGCGGCGCAAGTTACCGGGATAAAGAAGATACAGCAAAGAAAAACCTCGGATGGGAGCGCACTTTTATTAACGTTTCCTAATTAATTAACCCGCAAGCTCTCGCTGGTGTTTGTGCGGGTACCTCACTGGAGAAGTGGAGTCGTTGACTGCAGGTAAGTTAAATAACTTGATTGGGGTGTCGCGAATCAACTCCTACAATGTTTTGTCAACCTATAATTGAGACATAATTTTTAATGTTAGTTAAAGCTCAACTTTCACAGGAATAAACCACCGGGACATTAGAACAAAGTCTGTCACCTTAAACCAAATGTCATCATTAAAAAAGAAAAAGTTTTCTTTAATCTCCTGAAAAAGTTATTATAACTGACCTTAATTGTGTTTTTTTTATTTGCTTGAAAGCTCACTCCCCCCTCCATACTTTTCATGCTTCCCACGAGTTCTTGAGTAACAGCATTTTACTGGAAATTATTTGTAGCTTGTCAAGATACAGATCGCATGAAATGATGGAGGGCGGTATTTCTTTTCCTTTTTTTTTCCTCTGTGCAGCGCGCTCCTGCGGCGCTCCGTGGTACAGCTTGGCGATCAGGCGCATCCCTGCAACAGTTGTGCCAAAAGTTGTGATTCATATTAGGAGCGCGAGGGAGGATGTGTTTTTAGCCAAGCGCAAAGCCGTGTCATGATTAAAGACTTTCCCCTTAAACCAGACACCTGAAACCTCTGAGTCATTCCTAATTGCATTACTAATCCCGTTTAAAACTTGCTGCTGCAAGTGTGTGCAACCAGCTTTCAGATGTTAACCTCCCTTTCCTAACGAGAGGAAGAATATTTAAAGTCATGATTTCAAGAGGTTGCAGACCCCTCTATTTCCCAGCTTTGTGGTTAACCCTGTATCTCACCTTGCCTGTGGTGTCTCCATATATTCTAATTAGAAGGAAGAGGGTGCACTGCGGAGGTGTGTGTGCATGCAGTGAGGTGAAACTGAACAGGATGAGACAAGCTGTTCAAACAGCCTAGAGAGGGGGGGGCAGCTCATCTTGTTCAGGTAGTACTTTCCCCAAAACGCCTTGAACTTCCACAGAAAGTTGAATCAGGGGTTAAATTTTTAGCTCCAGCTACTTGTTAGATCAGTCAATGCGCTGGAGTCATGCTAATGAAAGGAGAAGTAAGGCCAGGTGTCAGACAAGCTCAGGTGAGGTCATTGGCCTACCTCACTGGCTTGTTGTTGCAAAAACTGCGGGATAACACTGATATCCAGTCTCTTTCTGTGCTCCGTAATGCCTGATACAATGATTTTTTTGTTGTCTTGTTTCCTAGGCTGGAGCTATTGATTGACCTTTGAACTAGAGCTCGCTGGGAACTGGAAAAGACGTCACTGACTGACTAAGTAGAGACTTTGCACCCAGTGTTACCCTTCCCTCTAAATCCCAGACAGCCTCTATGCTCATCAACCTGACTGTGGCCATCAAGGAACCTCGTGCCTTTCATGGAACACAGTCTGCCCTTCCCGCTGCTGCCTCTGACGTTGTGGAAGTGACAGCCATGGATTCGCGTCCTGTGCTGGTCGCCCCTCCGCCACCTCCACCACCTCCACCTCCACCCCCTCCTCCTCCACCCCCACCTCCGCCTGAATCCTCATCCTCCTCTTCCTCTTCGCCGTTTTGCCGGACAGACAGTGCCCGTCGGAGCCGGCTAAGGAAGCTTAACTGGGAGCGCATCCCCAAAGAGAAGGTGGAGGGGAGGAAGAGTGTGTGGAGCGGGGCAGCCCCAGGCGAGGACGAGTTCCCCATAGACCTCCATTCTCTGGATGAGCTGTTTGGTCAGAAGGACAGTAAGCCTCAGGACAGAACCAGCACCCTGAGACGCAGGTCTGCTCTGCTCCGCTGCAGATCCCCCCAGGACAGCTCGGAAGAGGTCAGATCATGGGAATGGCAGTGTTCATTTTAAGTTATGTATAAAGATGGTGATCTCTTTTGCACTTTTCTTCCCCTTATTTATCTCGTTTGCCTCGTTACAGATCTCCCTGTTGGACTCCAAACGCAGTATGAACATTGGAATATTTCTACGCCAGTTCAAGATGTAAGCTTCTTTATTACTAACTAGAGCTGAAACAATTAGTCTTTTGATCAACAGACGATTTTCAACAATCTTTTGATAATAGATTGTTTCAGTTATTCCAACTTCTTCATTGTTAGTAGTATGTTAATGCTGAAATGTTGACTAGACAAAACAAGACATTTGAAGTCACAATCGAGTGTTGAGACATTGCTACGGACATTTTCTTTACAATTTTTTGACATTTCATAGACTAAACAATTAATTAATAAATTAATTAATGAAGATGGTAATTGGCAGACTAATCAAAATGAATAGAATCGTAAGTTACAGCCCTATTCTTAACAGTCTGGTACACTTGAACAGTTTCTGTCTTTTTGTCTATACTTGCTGGAGGTCGCCATCAGTCAAAACTGAAAGTAGTTTTAAGAGCAGGAAACAGAAGTGTGTGCAACTGTGCTCAGGGGAACAGTACTTCACTTGAGTTGAACTGTGGAGTGTTTGGCCATATATCAAAGGTGGCTGGGTGTCTGTGTTGTTTGTGCAAGTGTGAAGTCTCATCAGGAGTGAAGATGTGTGGTGGGGAGGGGGAGACAAGTATATTGCAGGGGACAGGTGTAGGGGAGGGTGCACCCTGAGTGGCTTGGTTTCGGGGGGGTCTTGAGGGGAGGGTGGTGATGAAGTGGCCGGGTATAGCCTTGGGAGTCAGAGATGACACCTGCTGATGCTCTTAAAGGCTGTCTAATGTTAAAGCTACCCCCTACCGAGAGAAACCCCACTGGTGGTCTGTCATATTCATCCATCCTCTAAAGCCTGTTTAGCATGTTGTCCTGGGTCAAACAAAGCTGCACTTCTTGTGACGAATAAGGCTGTTTAATCATCGTTAAAGCATGCTTACATTCAGTTTAATGTCTGAAACATTGTGATTAACATTTTGATGGTGAAAATCACGGTAGAAATAATGAAGCAAAGACATGGGAAAGAAGTGCTGAGTGGCTATTTGTCATGCCTCCACGTGTCTGAGTGAAACGCTCACGGAGACTCAATTGTGCGCCTCTTAACTGAAGAGCGGTTCTTTTCTAAACTAGATTTGTCAAGACTTGTAGGGGAAGCCATTATGTGAAAAGCGTCTATTGAGTACACAAACATTTGTCTTGTTGGGAGCTTATTTGCCCTCTGTTCTAAACAAAGACAGAGCCTCTGTTGAAATGTGGGTGTAGTTTAAACAAAATATGGTTTTGTGTTGTCAGACATCAGTGTCTGAGTAGTCACATTAATATCTTATTATTATGTGATGGTTCTATTTATAGGTTATTTCACCCAGCATTTTGTTTTCAGTAGAACTGGTTTGGGCAAATAACGCAACGCATAATAAGAGTGTTAAACTGTGTTTCCGTTTTGAAGTTGAAGTATAAAAAATTATTAATTCTATACCGTCTGCTTCTTCATAGGAACTGTGTGTCAGACAATTAAAGTATAAATGTGAATGTTGAACAAGGAGAGTTGGTTAGGGATTAAAAGGCAAACACACACAGTAGCATGCACATAATGGAGTATGAGCATGTGTGATGGGCTGTAAGATGAGGGGGAGGGGAGAAGATAATGGAAAACTGCTGGAATAGAGGACTGATGTGTCACTCAGAGGAAGTAAGTCAGAGGTCAAACATTCAGTCAGTTCAGTTTCTGCTCTTTCACCTTGACATCCCAAGGCCTCTCAGGAAATTTCCCCTGCACGTCTGCTTTATATTTGCCCAGTGGATATGCCATTTTTGTGTCGCCAGTGTGGCGTCAAACAACCCTCTCTCCTCAGCACTCTGACTGATAAGAGTGGGATAAGCCTAAATATTGTGTGATCAAGGCAAAACAAAGAGCTGATACTGCTCTTAACGGGAGTTTTCTCAGTCTGACAACCCTGGGTTGCATGTTAACAATGATGTCATACCAAACATGTGTTATTTTTCCGCAGGCCTGCTAAGGAGATAGTTGAAGATATCAGGCGGGGTGCCGGAGACCGTTACGGAGCAGAGAAACTCTCAGAGCTCTGCAAATTGCTGCCCGACAATGAGGAGGTAGAGCCTTTTTTTGGCGTACAAATACAACTATGACAGCCCCCTCCCCCCCTCCCTTCCTTCTCTTACTCATCATCTGGCTCTGGTTAGGATGATCAAAAGTTTGCCATTACACCATGTCGTGTGATGTGGTCAGTTTCCAGAGAAGGGCAACGCTGAAAGATATTGGAATTGACTGTTAACTGCATGTTGTGTTTTAGTTTTCCAGATTTAAAAAAAATCTGTTCTCTCTCAGGAGTCTCGCCTGAAGAGGTTCAGTGGGGAGCGGAGCTGGCTAGGAGAGCCTGATCTTTTCATCCTGCTGTTGGTGGAAGTCCCCAGGTACAGCCTCAGCCCTAGATTGGATACAATTAGCAAGAATATCCCCTGTACTTTTACTACTGATTGTTTTTTAAGCATTTTAAAAAGGCTTTTCTTCCTGTTTATTTGTATCTGACACTGGTCATGCTCACATGCTTCACTTTGTGTTGACGTGTGTTTGTTTAACTGATGATTGATCTGTCAGGAGTGCCTTTTTGTCTCTGTCATCACTCACCCCTGTCCATCTATCCATCCGTCTCTCTTCCATTAGTTTTCGGCTTCGTCTGGACGCCATGATCCTACAGCAAGAGTTTGACCCTGCTGTGACCTCTCTGTGTGTGGCAGCCAGATGTCTGAGGGAGGCGGCCAGAGGTAACGTTAACAGCAGGGAGTCGTGTCCCCAACCACTATAAAGATCCTGGTCTGTGTTGGCCCTTTGAAAGGCTCCTGTTATGAATGAGAAGTTTGGACCCAGAATGCATTCTTGTGACTTACTGATAGAGGAGAAACATGGTATCAGTTATATTAAGTTTAGTTTGCCAGTAAACTTGAGTGTCAGTTCTTCAAAACAAAGTTGCTGACTCATTTTAAGGCCTTGATGTTAGCTTCATACACATTCATACTCATTATTCCTCAACCTTGAGGCTGAATATTGAATCTCTGTCTTTGACTCTCCTAGAACTGCTGAGCTGTCCTGAATTACACTCCATCCTTCGTTTGGTGCTGAAAGCAGGAAACTATATGAATGCTGTGAGTGCTTCTTTATTTTATTTATTTTCTTTTCTTCAGCCTGACAAAGCAGAATCAGTCCTTTTATCTGCGTATAATACACCAGTGGCTATGGGGTCTGGGCGTGTGTTCAGGGGCGTCACTCTGACTGTGCACCTGGGTTTTGTATCATTATTTGTTTAAAGTTGTCACATGTTGTGCGTGTCTGTTTTATTTTGACCTTGTATGTGGCTTCTCAGGGTGGGTATGCAGGCAATGCCGCTGGTTTCCGGATTTCATCGCTGCTCAAACTGGCTGACACCAAAGCCAACAAGCCGGGAATGAATTTGCTGCATTTTGTAGCTATGGTAAGATGTGAAATGTATGTGTAGTAAGACAGTATCCTGTAAAATCTAACAGGTGCTGAAGTAAGTCACAGGAATCGCATGACAACAGAAGGAGATGAAGTACGCCTCCTTATTTAAACAGCTGTTTATGTGCCAGCAAACTCCTTTTTTTAAAGTTCATAAAGACTTTTCTTTTTGAAGTGGACATGTATTGTTTGTAACGGTATTTGTGGAAAGCTATATAGTAAAAAAGCCTTAATATTGTTGATTGAAAAATTTTTTGTAAAATACTTTTCACCGTTTTTGCAACAATGGGTGCATATAAACATAATTTAGGAAAATAAATAAAAATGGCTGTTTTTGAAAATGATATGAACCCCATCTATCTTTTCTGACCACAAAGTTTTAAGAGAACAATATACTCTCATAACCCTCAAGCCAGACTGCTCCACAGAGCATATGATTTTGTCAACATTCACAAATGACGTGTTGCTTCTTTTGAAACAATAGCTGAATAATCATTTGTGTTTGTCTCCACAGGAAGCTGTGAAAAAAGACCAGAGTTTACTTTCATTTCCCGGCCAACTAGGCCATGTTGGGTCCGCCTCCAGGTCAGTCTCTTCCCAAAAATCCCATCAAATCCTACAGTAACTGTGTCTGAGGGAATATACAAGACCTGCTTAATAACATTAATACACCCCACAAGGCTGCTAAAACAAATGTATTGTAAATCTATTGCATTCTTGTATCAGAACAAGGCGCCCAGCTGTTAGCAATAGCTCGCTCCCTGAGTGAAAGTGGGTCATGACAACATTTATACTCCAAGCCAATATTTAAGCTCTGCTGGAGAGTTTTGTTGGAGAGTTTCTCTGCAAGGTGCCAAGGAGTGCCCAGCCTAATTCTACTTTCAAAAGTAAAGAATATCACTCATGCAATGCAATCTTTCTGGGCATATAAATTGACAGAACTCAAGTCTAGAACTTCAGTCTATGTAAAAGAAATGAAGTCATTTGCATTCATTTGTTACCTATTTTTGGTTATGACACCTTTCTCAAGACATGTAACACAGTTTTTTCTGTACAGTTCTTATTAAAATTGTATTATATGTCATCTCCTGCAGGTTGTCTGAGGAGTCTGTGATGGAGGACTTATCCAAGTTAAAAAGCAGAGTGGTGGCCCTCAAGGCAAACATCCAGACTGAGGCAGAGATTCAACAGCACACGCAACCTTTCCTAGAGGTATGAAACCTAGTCTGTAATATATAAAAACTTTATCTGATGGTTTACAACCTGTCCATCCGACATTTGTTTTTAGGTAAAGTAATGAATTATGCAGAGAACTTATTTCAAAGGATGACTGTGTAAACTGTGCCTGTGTGCAGGTGGCTGAGGAGCGTCTGAAGGAGGCGGAGGATGAGGTGGAGGGCATGAGGATGTCTAGTCAGGCTCTGGTGGAGTTCTTCTGTGAAGATGACAGCACCTTCAAACTAGAGGAGGCTTGCAGGGTCTTCAATTCGTTTTGCCACCGCTTCCAAAAAGCTGTTCAGGTTAGATTGAGAAATTAATTGAAATATCCATTGATTAAAACATAAATACTGACTAAAAAAGTTCAGACAATTCAGCACTAAGACTCACTGACAAATACATGATTCCTTTCCTTTTCTACAGGAGAATGCGGAGCGGGAGCTGAAGGAGCAGAAACGTCTGGAGCGTCAGCGTGAGATGGGGGAAAAGCGCCGCTCTCTGGCTGTCTGTACGGGGCTGGACCTGGGCCTCAGCCTTGCCAGAGAGCCTCACAGACAGGAGAACCAAGATGAGCTAGAGAAACTGCTAGAGAAGAACTTGAGCTACACTTGGAACCGACGTAGCCTGAGAAGCTCCGAGTCCCGCAGACTTTCCCATCACCTCAACAATGACGGCCATCTCCATAACTCATCGCTGTTCAAGAGCTTCCCTGAGCTGGGCAGCAGTCCGACATCAACCAGTTATCACTCTAACAGCTCCTCTGACCATGAGACCGCAGCTGTGCTTTGTAGCTCCCCAGAGACAGACGGCACATGTTCCCCCATCGACCAAGATCCTGTTCTGGGTAGAGGGAGCAGGTCTCAGGACAGCCAAGCAACTAACCGGCGCATGGACGCAGTTCAGGACTCACACGTTGCTACATTTAGTCATTCTCAGCATGGACGTGGCTTCACAGTCAAGCAACACGGGCCTGAGAGCGTTTCTTATGTGCTGCAAGGCCATCCGAAGGCAACAGGACTTGAAAAAGAAGCTGAGATTTCACATGAACACGTGGTTTCGATGACCACTGAATCTTCACCAAGTTCCTGTACGAACTCTGCTGCTATACCCGCTGATACAACTGCCCTTTGTGTTAAAAGCCAGACCTCTACTCATAGACGTAGGTTTGGCCTGGCAGTGACAGACAATACTCACTCTATTCAGACTAAATCTAATGTCTCCTGTTTTGATGAGTCTGTACCTCTTCATACAAGTGGAATACTTTCCCACAGTGACACCAGGGCTGGGTCCTTAAAGTACCAGAGATATGAGAGCCAATCACAATCATCTGTAAATGCTCCAGAGAGGGTCCAGTCACAACCACAGGCGAGAGAGATGCCCACCACAACAACAACAACAACAAGTGTTGTGATGCCTGAGGCAGGTTTAAAGCACACTAACCCTGAAGTAGCTTCCGCACCTGTGAAGGAGAACTGGATGACCTCCAGTCTACCTGAGTTCAGCAAATCACAGCCAGAGGAGTATTCTGATTTGCCAAGTTCTGAGAGGGAGACAGTAAGGTCATACTCGCGTGTGGGTGAAACACTGGAGTGCCACACTCTGGTGAAAGGCCTCCGATGCTATGATGCCTTGTCACCCCCAACCTCTCCACTCCCACGACCCGCACCGAGCCTCTGCTCCAAGTGGAGGAAAGAGAGGGAGGTTGACCTTCGAGAGGGGACAACTCCAGGGTCTCCTACATCAAAGGAGGAGGCTCGAACTATGAAGATCCCTGTGCGTAGTGGAATAGGGGCCAAAAGGGGACTTATGTCACGCACGGGACCTTCTAATAGCACAAGCATTCCCAGGGTGCGCTCCAAAACTGAGCCTTCAAATGGAGCTCCAGCCCCTACTAACCCACCCACTCCCACCCGGCTGTCCACTCCTCGCAGCATATCCATGCGTTCGTCTCCTGTCTCACGGCCTGCCATCAGTCAGACAGAGGTGAAACGCAGTAATAGCACACGTGAGAGGACTATAAGTGAGACACAGACCCCAGTAAAACCCACCTTGACCCGCAGGACCTCAGACAGATCCTTACCAGAGAAGGTCTCAGGCAGCACCCAGACAGCCTTCATCAGAGGATCTCCTCTCCGTGTGTCAAAACGACTCGCCCCTAACTCTGAGACTCAGGTGCCCTCCCAGCCTCGCACTGCCCACAGCCCGTCCTCCGCCACGGCCAAGACCATACGCACGGCTGTCATATCTGCTGCCCGAAATAAAACTGCCAAGACAACAAGCACAAGCACCTCTCCTGCTAGCTCTAAAATCCCCACAGCTTCACGGATACCTGGTCCCAAAATGCCTCGAGCCACAGCAGCAGCCCAGCCACTGTGGAAGTGATGGAAGTGAATAAGTCCTTGTACTGTGCAGTCTTTTCATGCCTTTATACATTTCAGTAATATATACAGTGTGGGTATTCATGAAGAGTGTGAGTCATCAGTCAGATTTCTCGTCTTAATCAGCTCTAGGTCGTCTACATTCAACTTTTATGAAATTCGTATATGTAGTACTTAGTGCTTAGGTTCTACATATGTGAGCTGCACTGGGAGCAGTGGGGACTGTATCTCACGTGCGTTGCCCGATAGTTGAATAGTAGATCCTCCAAATCCTACCTCTTCTTACACTCATTCATGTCCTTTGCAGGCAATAGGACACCACAAGAAGACCCAAGTAACTTTTGTAGGAAAGGTTAATTCACGACAGTAAAACACAACCTAGTGACATTACTCTGTGCCTAGTCTGTACAAGTGTGCATTGAAAGAATTTTGAAATTCCGGACACAGTTTCAATCTGTCTTACATGGGGGAAAAAATATGTTTTGTTTGTTTTAGGAAATCTTCCAAATGTTTTGAATACTGTGTCCCTTCTGCTAAGTGATCATTGTGTTCTCACACTTGGCGGTCTTACAGTCCAAACTGAACTTGGTACAATATTGAACTGTTAATCCTCTTGTTGAGAGGCCTCATCGTTCTGATGCACTTTACAAACTGAAGAAGAGGCCGCAAGGAGATGATTGCTGTCATGTTTATTTTATGTCAAAAGATTCTATAACTTTATTGAATAGCATTGGTTGTTATTCACTGTATTATGTGGATTTATAAATAAGAGAAGACGAATAAAGACGGTGATCTGAATATTAGTGTGTGTCTTTGAGAAAGGTGCTCATCAGTTGAATTAAAAAGTGTCTGTGTTGTTGGTATATGTTCACATCTGTTTATCGGTTTTGTATTCAGACGAGCACTTTTACTTTCAAGGTCCCCGCTCTTCCTCTTAAATTGCTGCTCTTGCATCTTGCTGTCCTCTCTCTTCTTGTCACCCTTATTTTTCTCCCTCCCTCTCATCTGAACTCCCTCTTGCTGCATCTCTTGACACAGTCACCCCCATCTCTGTCAGTGGCTGTTGTCATGGAAATGCTACAGACGTCGCGGGGAATCTCCTGGCAGAATAGCGGGGTGCAAGGGTTGGGGTGGAGGGTGACTGTGGGTGTAGGGTCCCAGTGGGAATTCTCTCTTTATAGGCCGCAGTGACGCCAGAACCTCTTGGGAAAGGCAATAAACCGGTGCCTCTTTGTGTTCTTGAGTGTCCGGTTGTCGGTCAGCGCTGGCCTCTTAACCTGCCTCAGTGTATAGAGGTGACATCATCAACGGGTCTCCAGGGGTGCAGGACAGAGTAGTCTAAAGTGATCCCTCTTTTAGCTGCCTTCGTGTATTCTGCATTGACCTGAAAGCGCTGGCTGAGTGAGAATAATGACTTGTTTGAAGGTGAATAAGTGATATATGGGCTTTAATACCAGTGCTGACCAAAGACAGGATGAAGTCCAAAAGACAGGGGACAGGATTGTTTTATGGCCTGTTTGTATGTGAGGTATGTATGCAAACACGATGACACTGTGGCATTTAATGGTGAGAATGTAGCAAGTTCAAGAGAAAGGGTAAAGTCATAGCAGAAAGCCACACACTCAGACTCAAGTGTTAACAGACTGGTGAAATCCAGGAACAGCCTCCCTCACCTGCAGTGAGATTGAATGGATTTAAAGTGTTAGATAGTAAGATTTAGGGACACCTTTTTCAGCAGTTGGCACTTTTCAGAGACAGATTATACGGTCTATGGTTTTTTACAAGTTGTATTCTGTTTCTAAAGGCTAATAATTGTGATCAAGGAGTCACATTCATGGTTTGTTGCAGGTAAAATATAATGCCGAACATTCATACATCTATAATGCAGTTAAATATGACTTTGGCGAGGGGAAACAATTAGAGAGTTTTTCTGTGTAGGTAGGAGCAGTGGGGGAAAATAAATGTATTCAAATAGACTACTCCTATAGTTTTGAGGTACATGTACTTTAGCTGAGTCCTGCTACATAATACTAATACCTTACTTCAATATCTTATAGCCTATTGCACTATTTACCATCCATTTATTTTACGTCTGTAGATTAAGATTTTACATACCAAATACAAGATCATATAAAGTAGCATAAAGCAAATAACACTTTGACGGGCTACACCATAAATAGAAATGCTATTTACACTTTAATGCAACAGTAAATCCAGAAATAACACACTGTTGAGTACTTTCACTTTTGTTTCTAGTTGCAATATACTTCTGTACTATTATGAATGCAAGACTTGTAAAAGAGTATTTTTTTACGTTGAAGTATTGCTACTTTCATTTAAACAAAACTCAATATTTCTGGGCAGAAATCACAATTTCAACTACAATTTTCTGTCATCACACCTGCACCTACAGCTAAATGGGAAAGCATGGCGGTTTAACAGCGCCATCTAGTGTCTCACAAACGACGCTCACAAAACGAAACTACAACTCCCAGCGTGCATTGTTTCCGCGTGTCGACTTTTACGTAATGGACAGCTCCCCGGATGCGGCTGTGATTGACTATACCAGGCAAAAAGAGATCGAAAGCCGAGTGGCGGTAAGTCACAAAACCCTTCAAATTTCACCGTTACAGCAACTTACTGCTGGCGAGACATATATTAGAACATAATAGAATTTTTAGAGTAACTTGTAGGAGGTTATGGGCCAGGAACAAAGCTTTCTCGAGAAGTGGCCTGCAAATAAAGTTTCAACTTGTTTGCTAACTAGCTAGCTTGTTAGCCACCAAATGCGCTAGTTCCTTAGCTTGATGCTAGCCACCGGGGGGGAACGCCTAGTATCATAAATGAACAGTGCGAAATAACAAACGCCAGATAAGTCACGTTAATGTTACGCTTTCGATTCACTCGTTGGCCTCCGTTCAAAGGAGTGGTTCGGTAAACTTTCCAGATGTTGTTAATTAGCGGACGGTGGACTTGTAACTAACCCATGTTACGTTAATTGCGTCGATGAGCTAACGTTGGCGGTGGTTAGCTCTCCTGCTAACGTTAAGTAGATTAAAAAAAAAAAACTGTATTATAGTAAAGAAAAGAAGTTACTGACCGGTGTTTTTACTTTTTGGTAGTTAAGTTTAATAATCACCTTTTTTTTTTTTTTTTTTTTTTTACTGACTGAACATTTTAGATTAGCTTCTCAGATGATGAGACATTGTAATTAGAAGTTACCCAGGTGCCTTTGTTTTTTTCTTTGTCTCCTTCTGTTGTCAGGTGCTGCAGACCCAGTGGTCGTAGGCAGGATGCAGACCATAAAGTGTGTGGTGGTGGGTGACGGGGCAGTGGGTAAAACGTGCCTACTCATCTCTTATACCACCAATGCCTTCCCCGAAGAATACATTCCCACAGTGTTTGACAACTACAGTGCTCAGATGAGCGTAGACGGCCGCACTGTCAGCCTCAACTTGTGGGACACGGCAGGCCAGGAGGAATATGACCGCCTGCGCACTCTCTCCTATCCCCAGACCAACGTTTTCATCATCTGCTTTTCCATTGGCAGCCCCTCCTCCCACGCCAATGTGAGGCACAAGTGGCACCCCGAGGTGTCTCACCACTGCCCCAACGTGCCCATCCTGCTGGTGGGCACCAAGAGGGACCTGAGGGGCGATGCAGAAACAGTGAAGAAGCTGAAGGAGCAGGGCCTGGCCCCTACCACCCAGCAGCAGGGCAACGCCCTGGCCAAGCAGATTGGGGCTGTTAAATACATGGAGTGTTCTGCTCTGCTGCAGGATGGCGTCAGGGAGGTGTTTGCTGAAGCTGTGAGGGCAGTGTTGTATCCAGTAACGAAAAAGAATCCGAAGAAGTGTGTGCTGTTGTAATAAATGGTTCCCAGATTTGGACTGTGGAGAGGGATGATGGAGATCCACAGATGCAAAGGAAGGCTGAGGAACGAAGGTCATCATCTGGCTGCGTCCATACCACCTCCAGCAGTTTAGACTTTGTTTTCAGCACCTCTGTTACTCCTCTCTTCCTTATTCATCTCCTGGAGGATTTCACTCCGTTGCCATCATCACCAAAGTGACTAAAATGCCAAAATGGGGGCAACTGACCGTATCTCCTCTATTTTTCTTACATTTTAACTTTTGATATTTACACTTTTTCCAATTTTACATCTGTTCTAGATTTATAGCTTCTCTGCTTTGCCTTTAAAATGCTGATCATGGTTGTCAGAAGCCATAACAAGATCCAAACCAACCAACCAAGCTACCCTGTTTGACTGGAGAGAAGAGATCTGCCTTTGTTCAGGTGGAGAAATAATGACTACCTCATACTCTCACCTAGGTTGCATCTCATGAGTTTCAAGCAGCGTCACCATCAAGATGCTTTGACTTGCCAATTAACATGTAATAAACAGCCAAGTAGAGGGTGAACAAGTTTTTAATTTCAAGCAGCTTGAATCCAGACAAGGTGTGATGACTCTCGGACAAATGCCAGTACCCCATAACCTATATGCACAGATTAGAGGTTAAACTCTCAAGCTGCGGTTCTCCTTGTGCCCAGTCTGGCATGTTAGAGCTGTCTGGCAGGCTGCCCTTCCAGCCTCTTGCACCGCTCTCTCACTGCCACGCATGGAAGAGCCAGTAGGCCTTTGAAGATAAGCAGGACCCATTAAAAGCAGTCGACCGTTTGCCCTCTTCAGCAATAGAGGAGCAGGTGTCATAAGGCCTCCGCCAAATTAACCCATATGGGTACAGGATTCCTTGAGCTGACGTATCGGGAAGTAATGTTGTAGTACAGCTCTCCCCTGTCTACGTCTTAACTCTTGAGGGGTCACACCGAGTGCCATTAAAACATGCCTAAGAATTACTTTTTGACGGGGTGGGGGTCAAAGAGACTGTATTTTGTCTAATAACGGTGAATTTACTCTGTAAATGACTTTTTTTCCTGAAATGTTTTTAACCGACGAGTGTGGTTATGGCCAAAGTTGAATATATTTTTTGTAATAGCTTATGTTTATTTGATCAGTAAGATGTATGTGTGTAATAGTTAATACTCAGATTTGATAAACCAGAACACCATGATGCACCCTATGCCAATTACATTGTTGCCTTACATTTAAGGTCAGCAGATTATGACCACTGCATAATTGATTCAGTATAATGATACCAGAATATGTTTAAACTGGCTTGTGCTAGGCTATATACACTTATTTTCCTATATTTTCTTGGATAGTGGAATACCATTTCATCTTCATCAGAAGCACTGTGTCATAGCTGCCTAGTTAATACGACAAGTAATGACTGATTATCTTCATTATAGAAGGAGCTTTTTTGTTTGGTCCGGTGCCTTATGTAAACCAAAGACCATAGCAGTGCTCCTTTTTCAAACCCAAAGGTTCTCATTAAAGTGATGAGAGAGCCACATGGCCTTTTTTTTTTTTTTTTTTTTAATATATAAATGCAGGTCCAACCAACTCTTCATTTTTGTCATTTTTCACTAGCTTTCTGCCAGTAAACACACTCTTCTCGCAGCACCCTTTGTAAGACACAGGTGCTAAACTGACATCTTGCACGGCAAGTCTGTTGCATTTGTGAAACGGAGCACAAGAAAGGCAGTGCTCGTGGCCCACACCTCTTAACAGATTGTGGTTTGCATCCCTGCATTGCACGTTGCAGTGAGGGCAAAGGCACAAGCACAACTTGCACATACGGTTAGCAAGAGATGCGTTGGTGGAACGTGCCTTGTCACATCTGAAGATTTTTATACATTTTATAAAAATATTTTTTTAGTAATGACTGGTTGCTAAT